TAGGGAAAGTTTTAAACACTTAATCAGGTAAAAATAGCTAAGAGTGAATATAACATGGCTTAACTTAAAGATCATGACATCAAAGAAAATTTACTGAATGAAAATTTCAAAAAAAAAAATTTTTTAAAAGATAAAAAATAATAAATAAAGTTTGTTCTAGACAGACTTGAAAATATGAAGTTATATTAGCTTTTAAACAAAATATAAAAAGAGAAAAAGATCCAGCTTAATAAATCTTTAAAGTTTGTTCTACACAGACACACACACACGTGTGTGTATATATATTAAAAATTGGAAAGTTGTTAAAAAAATTAAAATAATTGGATTAATAAATCTTTTTAAGAAAATTTCTTAAGGATAGATTTTTTATGATTGAATGAGCATTTGGGAACCTACTTCAAGGAGTAAGGAAACATTTAGGATTGTGATAATTGAGGGATAACTAAAACTATGAATCATAAAATAATAAATCGAGAGAGGGTAACAAAACATTGGCTCGAAAAAAAATTTCAATAAAATAGAAGGATTAATTTGGTTTTATGCTAAGTATATCTAGCATCGAATTACTTTTGATCTAAAGGAAAAAAAAAAAAAAAAAGTAATTAAAGGATCTCATATGTTATTAATTGATCAAGAAAAGGTATGTGTATAGTATTTTTTTTTTTTTTGGTGGGTATTTAGTTGCAAAATACTGTATCAAAAATAGGTTTAAGTTATATTACAAAATAATATATACACATTTAAAGAATTCTAAAGCGATCAAAGAATTTTCAATCACAAAAAAATTTCATCAAGAAACAACTTTAGTTTAAAAAAAAAAAAACTACAAAATGTTAAATTGGTACTGAAGTTTCTTGATAAGAGATCCAAAGTGAGGCAAATTGGTGCACTACTTGCAAATGCTATAATTTTGATAAGCCATATTCTAAAGTGAAAACTTAATAATTTACAACGATAGAAGAAAATGCAAAGAGAGGGGGGGCACAAGTTTGATAGAAAAAATACCAGATGTATAATTTATGATCAAGTGAGTGTGAATTTATTATTATTATTTTTTTATATTTCAAAGAAAGGAAGGGAAGCCTAAATTAGATATTATTGAACATTTTGAATTAATTATACAAAAGAACAAGATTATAGGCAATTACGTAACTTTTAAAGTTAAAATAAGTTGGTCGAGATTGAGGAATGTTATGAGTTTTCATCATAAGAGAATATATTGAAAATTTAAAAGTAATTACAATGTCCAATCTATTTGAACCTGTGTGTTGAATAGCAAAAAAGTCAATAATGCTGAGTTAATAATGAAAAAAAAATGCTAATGGTACATGGAAATTGCTGTAATCCTAAGAAAAATAGGAAAACAATGGTTTTATTAAACCAATGAAAGGAGTAACAATTATCAAACATAAGGATATGAACATTCTACTTGGAGCATTTATTTTTAAAGTTTTTTTTCATGGTTAGATCAATTACTTAATCACTGGACTTCATGGTCATTTTTATTACTGTCAAATTTATTTTAAATAGTTTTAAATTACATTTGCATTATTGTTGGGGACCCTTTATGTTGTTAAGATACATGCTTAATAAGAACCAGGTCATTGCAAATTAGCTTAGTCTTATTCTTAATTAGTTCATTACTTTATGCATACTTATCGTCATTTCATCTTAAGCGATAATTTTGTATCGATATTAATACTATTTATTATACTCTATGATTGAACTTGAGTGTCATTTTATTGATTCTCTTGCTATAGTGATCATTTGAAATTTTGAACATGTTTCACCATGATAGTTTATTCACATTCGAATGTTTGTGATTTGATGGCTACTATTAAATAGTAGAACTTGAGTTTAATTTGATATCAAAAAAATATTATCCTCTATATATTTTCTCTCCGAGTTCATTCCACCCTTCTTATATATTCACCATTTATAATTAAATCATTCTCTCTCTACTCGTTTATTATTACCATTGATTCATTCAATCTTTCAACCTTCTTGTTCTCTTTACTTCATGAGTTCACCCTTTAAGTTGGATCATCATGTCAATATAGGTCAAAGCATCAAAATCAATTGCACATTCTGCTTTTGCAACCGCTTGATATACAATTGCAAAGTCAAGATTCTAGAATTCAAATTGTTTATTAAAACATATGCACCAACTTATACGAGTCATAATAACATCACCTCTTTCATATTGACCAAAGGAAAATATATTGAGATTTTCATACCTATTTTACACTGATTTTGATGATATTACACTTAAAAAAAAAGGTATTTTTGATGTTTTGTTGCAGGTATGTTGAATTATGGTAATTGGAGCAAAAAGATGCAAAAAGAAGCGAATTTGGAGCAAAAATGACCAAAATATGAAGATTTGATCTTGGGTGCCGACGGCGAGCTCGACGCCGCCGACGGCGAGTTTTTCCCGAAAGTCCAGAATTAAATATTCTAAAAGGCCGTCGACGGTGCCATCAAGGCCGCCGATGGCGAGCACGTCGGTTCTCTCAACATATGCATTGAAGGTGAATGATTTTTGAATGGACGCTTGGGCAACTCTTGAAAACTCTTCTACAACTTTAAAAGAAACAATTGGAAGCCGAAAAAGGGGGTGTCCACTGAGTCTTTGTTGTTTGTGGTGCTCATTAGAGTGTAGAGAGTGGTTAATATTGTGAGGAATTCTTCGAGATATTGTAAGAGTGGAAGGAAAGTGAGAGATTTCTTCCTCCTTGCCGCTTCGAAGGAGAATTGTGTGCTGTAAAGAAAAGAAGAGATTCAGAGGAACTTCAAGGAATTTGCTTGGGGAGGAATTAGAGATAAGTGATATTTATTTATTGAAGTTTGTATGACTTTGTTTTTGTATATAAATTTCAAGTTCTGTCGTATCTTCTCCATGAGTTCTGAGTAGTTTTCTCTGTCTTTCTCCTTGTCTTGAGATTTTATGAATTGGTTATTTAAATTGGTTGTGTCATGAGAATGTTAAAGAAGTTGTGATGATTTTTTCACTTCAATCTTAATTTACTTTCAATCTAACCAATTGATTTGTTAAAATATGTTGAGTTGTACAACTAAAGTGAAGATTACATCCAAGATTTAGGGAGGTCAAAGCCCTTGAAAGTTTGGTGCAAATAAATAGGGAAATAAAAATTATCGGGGGTAGAATCGGAGATTTTAAAGTGACAGACTAAAATCCTCAATTCGGTCCTATCGTTTGGGTGCTAAAGTGTAGATGTTAGCCCTCAGGCCAGGGGAACGTGGAAGCTCCGAAGTGATAGCCGGTATCCTCCCAGTCTAACCGCAGATTCAGTAACCAAACATAAGATTAGTCAATGTTCTTTATGTCTAGTCCAAAGGGTAAAGAATAGGTATGCTCCTATTTGGCACAATACAATTTGAACTGATTCAATTTATCCATCCACTTAAATTTATTGACAAAGAGAATGATGTTTTCTTATATATTGAATTTCATATTAGAAACTTTATTAGTAGAATTAGTTAATTAAGAGTTTATTAAAATTATATTTTTATTTCAATTGTCTATTAACGACAAATATGCAATTTAAACTATATTGTTGTGATTAAGTATTGATTTTTTAAATCTTAGTTCGTAGCCTCTAATATTACTCCCTGTGGGATCGATATCCAGGACTCCATTAGAGTCATGTATTACTTGAGCGATACGTATACTTGCGTTGATAAGTGTGACTTTGCAATTATTGAATATTTTATACACATCTTTATCAAATCTATAACCGTTATCAAGTTTTTGGCGTCGTTGTCGGGGATTTAAATCTTCTAGCAGCAATATTAAATTCTTGTATTTTTAAGCATATATAAAGTCGCTGTCATATATCTTCTCCAAACTATTTTCAGTCAAACCTACATATGCAACCCTAAATATATTTCAAAAATCTTGGGCAAAATTTGTAAACTAAATCCTAAGCAAAAAAGATCCTACATCATGAAAAACCTTAACATTGCCCATCACCACTCATTGTTGAAATCATTCACATCCCGCATCTATATCCACTTTCCTCCACCAAGCCTAAATAGGCCCATAAAATCCTCATTGAACACCTTCAAAATTGAAATTCTTAGCCACCACAAGTCACCCATTATCCAATCCTAAATAAGCTATACAAACCCATATTAAAGATCATGTTTAAACAAAAAGCACATAATATTCCTAACCAATCTTTACTTTTAATTGTTTTAAATTATGATTGCATTTTTGTTGGGGACCATTTATGTAGTCAAGATACATGCATAACAAGAACCAGATCATTGCAAATTAGCTTAGTCTAATTCTTATTTAGTTTATTACGGCTTAAGCGAGAAGTTTGTGTCGATATTTATACTATTTATTATACTCTATGATTGACTTTATCTGTCATTTTATTGATTCTTTTGCTATAGTGGTAATTTGAAATTTTGAACATGTTTCACCATGTTAGTTTATTCACATTCGAATGCTCCATGATTTCATGGCTACTATTAAATAGGAGAACTTGAGTTCAAACTAGAACGTAAGTTGATATCAAAAAAATATAATCCTCTATATATTCTCTCCCAGTCCATTCCACCCTTCTTACATTTTCACCATTTCTAATTAAATCTCTCTCTCTCTACTCTTTTATTATTGTCATTACTTCATGAGTTCACCCTTTAAGTTGGATCATCATTTCAATGTAAATCAAAGCATCAAAATCAATTGCACTCTTCTTTTGCTACTGCTTGATATACAACGCTAAAGTTAAGATTCTAGAATTCAAACTGTTTATTAAGACATAAGCACCAACTTATACGAGTCGTAATAACATCAACTCCTTCATATCTTCTCCAAATTATTTTCAGTCATAACTACAATGCTAAGTAATTGATAAGATGAGGAATTGTTAGAAGAATACTTGCCATGTGTGGTACCCATCCTATGATATGCAGTATCAAGAATTTGGAGCAACTCCTTAGCACAAAACTCAGAATTCTGAACGCATGGAAAGTCATTTGGAGCAGATGGCTCTCTGGCAACATCCTCCTGTGCAGCACCCAGGTGTTTATGTCCAAGTGAAGTTGAGTTCCTCATGTCAGATAGACTTGTCTCCCATATTCCATGGCCTTGAATATTATACAAAATTCTTATGGCCACAATTAATATTGCCATCACATAAACCCGAGTAGGAAGTGCATGATGACAACTAGACAACCATAACTCAGATGGAAGAGACCATTCATATAGGCGGCATGCATGAGGAAGGATCTTAGCTGCAGGCAAAGAAAGTGCTTTGAGATAACGCTGAGCTATGGAATAAAAGTTCACCGAAGGGGTTCTAAGGCCAATACTCTGAGCAATAGAGGCGGAGGTCGCTTCTAACAATGATGCACTGATAACTCGAATGGGCCTGAACATAAGTCTGGCACTCAAAGGGCAAAATTTAGGAGGACCAAGGCCCTGTCCCAACTCAGCAAATGCAGACAGGTAAGGAAGCTTTGCCTCTGATACCCATTGATATATATCTGTAGGCAGAACTGCCTCTCGTGCAAGATGGCAGGATAGAAAAGAAATTACCAATGTAGAATGTACAGGTATCAACTTTCTTAATGAACGGAACGAAATAGATATCACTTTCTGTCCAAAAGTTTTTCGTTGTCCCGTCCTTAAATTAGACTGGATTTCGTTTTGAGTTTCCTGTTTCTCTGCAGTCAAGAGCACGGTAAATCATAAGAAACAAAGTGTGAAAACAGTAGCATAAGTATATAACAAATAGCTGCATCAACAATATACTCAAAGAATTCATTAAGAATTTAATTGAGCCAGAGAAAACAATAACAAACAACATCATCATTAAAAAATGTTAATAAACAAGAGTGATTAGACTAAAAAAGATATCAAACCTTACAAATCAGCCTAAAAATGTCTAATTTAAAAGTGGCGGGATGAGAGTTTGCATGCCTCAATCAAAGAAAACAATAACAACAGTGTAATACTGAACACTGCCATTGTCACCAGAACAAATGCAGTTGAATTGTCTAAAGTCTCCCCACTCCATTCTCAAAACGTTCATTTGGTACTAAATTTTTATATAGTTCTTTTGCGAAACTTCAATAGAATTGCTGTATATCCACCATGACACATTCCAAGTCATATAACTCATTTTAACTCTCATTTAAAACTACAAGATAAACTGTTTCATATATACCAAAAAATGAATTCCAAAATGATGGGAAGATATGTCAAGACATGCACCAATAGCAAATGTTAGTATAACATTGGTCTCACAGGGAATGGCATTCTTTTTTATTTAGCAGCTCTAAAATAGTAATCCATAAACAATGCACGCATACTTGATCAACAAATATCTATAGGAATGTAAAAATGTGATTCTGTCTTGTGTTTTCTTGAAATGTTTGTTCATAAAATACAGCAAATAAAAAAAACAACATTCCAGTATGTCATTGCATGCTCCCATGTTCGTACACAATCTCCTGCCCCAAAGCATTCAAACTTTCCATTTCTCTTCAACCCGTGTTTGCGATTCCCTTCTCAGTATACTTCCCCAAGCAACCCCCGGGCAACCCGTTGTGGCTCACCTCTCAATCGCGACACTACACCACTTGCATTCACATCTTCCAAGCCTCCAGGTTGCCACCAACTCAACTCTCTCAAGATGTTTCAAGCTCAAATCACAATGCACTTGTTAGCTCACAGAAAATAAAACCCCTATTTTAATTTTTCCAAAACCCCAATAACTCTCGCTTTCACTCTCTCCAGCAGCATTTCTTTTCTGTGTTAATTTATGCTTTAACCAGATTAATGTCATTGCATGTTTGATTTTGATTATTTAGCGACTCATTCATTTACTGTTGAAAAATAGCTGAAATTCAATATCATTCGTGATATGTAATATTACAGTAATAATTAGCATGAAATTAATCTGCATTATATTTATTTATCTGAAAAAATTTCCATCTTGCTTATTTGTTGATAGATTCATGCAAAAAACTGTTTAATTGTTAACTCTAGCATCTTATTCATTGTCTAAGAATACCACCAAAACGAATTGCTCGTTTTCTTGATAAATTTTTGGAATAAGTTTTCATGTGAAATGTGAATACATACCCCGAAATGTAGTAAAACAAAATCCCAATATGTGTACAAATAATCAATATCACGTGTCAGCAGCAACAATTCAGAACATATACAAATCCTTAAGGATCAAGTGTAATATCATGCTAACATATACTATTGTATTACCCATAGGTTTACACATATTTGTACATTCGATAGAATGCAAGATCAAACTATCTTTTTTTATATGGATAACTTAAAATACTTCTTTAGTTTATATAAAATAGAGAAACATTCCAAAATGATCGATTAACTATGTATAGGGGGTCATTTTAATACCAAAGTCAATAGTGCCAAATTAATTTCCATGCTGTTTAAATAGGAGTTAAAATAGTTCTCCCATTTAAGGATTATGAGAAATATTTTGACAATTTTGTAGTCTTCAGGACTAAATAGTTCCCTACAAAGAGCCAAAAGGTTATTTTTGACACTTCAAAAATTAAATATGTGCCTTATAATGTGTTTGAATTTTTAAAATAAAATTAGTAGAATAGCTAAATAGATTTTGAAATAAAATTGACGATGATGTTAGACAATAAAATAAATAGCCTACAACTAATTCAATTGAACTAATTCAATTAGATAGATAGATAGATAGATAGATAGATAGATAGATAGATAGATAGATAGATAGATAGATATAGATATATATATGCATTAACAAAAATAACTACAAACCTAATATTGTTAGTGATTATTTAAAACTTTAAACAATAAAACCAAAATGTGATTAATTACTTTCTTAATTTGAAGATTTCAATTCACTGTGTTATTGTCTAAACAACCATGAATTAACATATCCAGATTCATTAGTGAACTTACATTATATATTAATTATTTAGCAAAAAAAACACTCCTAAACACAAAACTTACGAGAGAACTATAACAATCAAAACGTAATTTAAGAGCCCACTTGTTATGGACATTGCATATTTTTCTAATAGTTTAAAGATAACACATTTATATAGCCCACCACTAGCAAATCAATATCTTACTAAAACAGTACAAACACCGGGCCAATCTAAAATCATGTCTATTGAAGAAACTAAACCACAAATCAAGACAAACTTTATTAAGTGATTTTGTTAAAAAATTTTTCCAATCAAAATTTTAATATAACAAACTACTTATTTGATAGTGATAACTTCGAATAAAAAAGTATCAGGAAAATCAAATGTCCAACTTTACCTCTAAGCTCGCAGTAAAATACACATGAATCTCTTCCGAAAATGAACTAGGATAATTATGCATTTTTTAATTGTTTTGGCACATTTAGTCAATGTCAAGTTTGACATCAATTCACTAAATAAAGCTTTAGAGTTTTTCCTTTAAGTATGTCAATATAGCTCATACTATAATGAAAATAAACTGATAGATGGAATTTTGAATGCCTACTAAGTCTGATGGTGTGCTTAAAGTACTCCCCCGTGCCTTTGTCTAAAGCATTGCCCACTCCACACCTTTTCAGACTTCAGTGAGTTCAATTACTCTCTTCTACTCTCACAGATTTTCTCTCTTTTCGTCGCTCTTTCTCAACTTGTTCAAGGATTTTATGGTCGTTCCATACATGCACCCTCCCTAAATAAGCCTCCACACTCCATAAATCCATTAAAAAACAATCATCATCACCCTTCCCAAAATCAAAATCCCAATTCAAATTTAATAATTTGCGTTGTAGTTAAAATCTACGTGTTTTATCTCCCTCAAACACATAAAATCTCATAAAATTTTTGGCACAGTATCTCTTCCTATCATCCAACCAAATATTATACATACATCAAATTGCAATGATCCTCTAAAATTTTGTTGCAATTTCAAATTGCAATGATCCTCTAAAATTTTGTTGCAATTTCAACCACCGATGCAAGAAATTGATTCAATGTAGTGCGTGAAAAAAATATGCTAGGAGGGAATAGTGGTAGTAATTTAGTGCAACCCTTCCTACCATCTTTTTGCACTACCAATGAAGTGCATGGGAAAAAAAAATCTAGCACTTCAGTAATACTTCTAACTACATAAATTACATGGTTGATAAAATAAAATAAAAAATCAAAACTCGTGAAATATTCTCTAAACAAAAGTTCTTACTTACACAATAAGCAAATGATAGTTCATGAAAAGATGTAGAATAATTATCATTCTGACCCATTCTAAGATTATAATAGTGCAACAAACATCACATCTAGTCATGAGCCAGGAAAAAAAAAATATGGAATTACTGTGACTTATTAGTATTGAAGTATATATCAAATAGGCAATTGGAGGTGGTGATTAAAAATAATCTAGTTCAAATATATAATTTCTTTGTTAAAAAAAGAGAAAAATTGGTAAGAATTTGGATAGAAAATGAAATAAAGTTGATAAATATAAATGCTTTTTGAGTAGTAGTTGTTCACATTATTAAGTCTCTTTCTACCAAAATCCAAAAATAACCAAAATATGGTTGAAATTGTATGGTTTGTTTCAATTTCATGATTAACTTAATTGAGAAGGATTTACAATTTAAATAAAACTATCATACAACAGATGGCAAGGATATTTGCTTGGCAAAATATCACGCCAAATTTGTATGGTTGTATTGATAGTATAATGAAGCATCAAGCAGACAGAAATCAGTTGAATATGAACAAACCCAACTCATCTGAAAAAAAAAAATGAAATAAAAGGGTCATAAGCATCAATTCGTACATGACAAAAGCACAACAGTTGTGCAATTGAAGCTTACCATTCCCACCGTTTTTTTCATTGAACTTTGCTGAGGCCGCTGCCTCAGCCTCGCTAACCATCTTCTCAAACCAACCATCATCAAAAACCCTAGAAACCGCCACATACCTTAACCAGATTGGCATAGCCATTCCGCAAATCAAAGGGCTAACGCCAAACTTCTCCACCAAGGCCTCGCACTGCAGCTGCAGCATCAATTGCAATCCCTGCACGTACCGAAGCCTTGTCTCGCCCGCAGCCCTCTCCGTATCCCTGCAATCCACGGAACCAAAATCCTGCGGAGACGAAGATCCGTCCTCGAACCCATAGAGGCTCGCCACGGATTCCTTCTTGTGTGAATCGGCAGCTGCTTGGGTGAGAGATCGGAGGACCTCCTCCTTCGAAGGAAGCTTAAAATTGGGCTTCGAAGGAGATCGGGATGATCGGCCTTTTGCACGGTGGTGGAAGATGCTGTAGATGGCTCCGACGCCGCCATCGCCCCCGTAGATATCATCTGCATCGGCCTGGGTGTCGGCGACGTTCTGGCTCTGAGAACCGCACTGTGAGCAGTAAAAGAAGCCGTCATCGCCGCCTCCGAAATCTTCGCAGCCACAGACATCGCAGAAGAGGCTGCGGTGATTATCCGGTTTCCACTGCGGGCTTTCCATCTCCAATTTGGGGTTGGTGCTTTGCCACATTGCTCAACTTCCTCGATGGTTTCGAATGAGAGGGGAGCCGAAGGAGGAGAATCAGTAGTGTTTCTGCTCGGTGATCCTCGGTGATCCCACGGTTGCCTTCCCAGCTAGCGCTAATCAAATTAATTATAATTACATAAAATTAAATATAAGTATTTAATAGTTGATTAATGAATAAATTGTTTATTTTAAATTTTAAATTATTTAATAAAAATTTAAATGTTTCTTAGTTTTAATAATTAGTAATTAATAAATTAATATTAAATTATTGTTTATTAAGTATAAAAAATTAATTATTAATTTATATAATTAATTATTAATAAATGTAAATGCGACTTTTCATGTAATTTAAAGCTTTGCAAACTCATTTATATTCTTTCTGAATTAATATTTATTTTTGTATGTTTACTTTTATAAATTTCGTTAAATCCTTCTAAAAGTAAATCTTGCAACCTAATAGTATTTTGAAGGAGAAATTATTCTATAGGGAGTACGTACGCAATTTTACATGTAATATACCGCCATGTATGTTATATCGGGCCCCCTTAAAAAAAGTAAAACCGCGGAGGTTATTTGGGAGGGTTATTAGGAGGTTATTGAGACATCAACTCCAATAATGTCATAATAAACCGTCAATAACTCCCGATAATCTTCACGATTTCACTTCAATAACCTTCGCGGTTCGATTTCAATAACCCCTGCATTAACACCACAATAACCCCAAATAACCTCCCAATAACTCTCCAATAATCAAACGAATTCAAGTTAATAACCTCCACATGGCGGCATGTTACTGGAGTTCGCACGCAAAGCTGCGTATGTACTCTGTAAGAATTAATTTCTCACTTCAGGAGAAGGGACTCAGGCTAGGGCTAGTAGGGCTAGAAAGAAGGGGAAGAGTTAGACAGGTTTTGAGATTTTAATTTAATTTTATTTAAGTTAATTCTTAGCAATTAGATAGATTAATAATTAATAATAAAAATTTGTTTTATTATAAGATTAATTGCAGGTCATAAATGAATATGTAATTAGTTAATTTTGAATTCGTAAAAATAAATAATATGTTAAATTTTAATTTATTTAATAACATTTCAAGTATTTACTAATTATTAATTAAAATATCAAACTTCTGCTCAATAGATAATTAGTTTTACAAAAATTTTAATTAATAATCAATCAGTTTAAAGAATTTAAGTATTTATTATATAATTAAAATTAATAAGATTAAATAATTATTTTCATCTAATTAATGAAATAATTAAAATTTAATTATATTTTTTACTCTAACAAAACTAACCGGCTTTAAAATCCAGGCAAAAATTGTCAAATAATTTTTTAAATTTAACCATTTAAGGATTTACTAAATCCGAATTTATAGGATTTAGTTATTAAATACTAACTTAAATATGTTTGCAAGTCACTTTCAATCAAGAGTTTATGAGCATAAAATCCTGTGTATGCGTTGCGTGGGTTAAAAACATAAAATAAAATAATTTAAATAATACAAGTTGCCAAATACCTACTTATGCAGGTTTTAATCAAGATTTAACTTAACTTGTTAAATGAACTTTTCAAGCTTTGATTATACCATTTTGATGCATCTTGCGAGCGGCGGCGGCGGCAAACAATGCTAGTTGTAAGCGGCGGAGTGAACTGCATCATCGACGTGCAGCGGCTGCGGGCTACTAGAAGCAGTGGGTGATAACTGGCGACAGAGGTTGCAGCCGACGATGGGGCAGCGGCCGACGACGGCGGCGATAAGGGACGTGGGTGGCAGCTTGCCTATTACATTTTACCAATGATGTAATTCAAATTTGACAAAAATGAGACGAATTCTATGCATTTAATACCTTTTTTTTCTCACCAAAAAAAAAAAAAAGAACTTCTAAATACTTTCCCACTATCCAACACTTTCAATGATTATGATGTAGAATAAACTTCAAATTTTATTTCACATGATCCACAAAACATAAATCTAAAGTTTTAGTAAATTTTCACTTGAATTAAATCGCACAAGTAGCCAAGCAAAAGCAATCTTATTGGGACTCACATTTACAAGATATACATTTTTCCCCTTCCAATCAAATGCATGAAAAATAAAATACAAGATATACATTTTCTCCTTCTTTCCACTTCAATCACATCATAGATAATTTCTTTGATTTTTTTTTTTAATTTAATATAAATTTTATTATATTTTAGTCTAAAATGTTTAGAATACATAGTTATGATATGCAAAAAAACCTCCATCACACATAAATTTTAATTGAATCTTATTAATATTTTCTTGACAACAGCTCAGAATTTTCACTAAATTTTAATAAAATCATAGTTCTTTCACCCCTAAAGTTCTTTGAGACTCCTAAGTTTGAACCAAAACTTCTGCAATTAGCAAAAATGAAAACTAGTAATGAGTGTCTTTTAAGAGTCTCTAATAGAGAGAGCTGTTGTTTTGTCAGTCCTGATCCTCATCAAAACTAACAACCTCCTCGTTGACGTCGATAACCTCCTCCACCTCCACCTCCTTGGCCTCATATTCTTCTTCCTCGTCGCTCGCCTCTCCATCTCGAAGCAGGAGCCTCAGCTGCTTCTCCTCCTCGTGCAGCTTCTTCCATTGAGCCGCCCATTGATCCCATTCCTCCTGAATCATCTTCCTCTTCTTCCTATCCTGCTCGCTCAGCTGCAGAGATACATCCTGGTCTTCTGCTTCATATTTCTTGCTGTACTTCTTCAGATTCTTCGATATCTCTTCTTCCTTCTCAAGGCTCAGCAGAGACGGCGGCCTCGGCCTCCACAGGAACTGATTCAATTCTCCATCAATGGTGGACGTTTTAGCAATTTCTCACAATTCTTATGTAGTTACATATATTTACACACATACAAACATTTTATGCACATAAAAACAATGATATTATCGCTTTTTTTCATGAGCAAGTTTTAAAGCACTGCTACGATTGTAAATATGAAATTTTAGATGTGAAATATGTAAATACATAAGAAATGTGTGGTACTTACGTAAATTTCCTAAAAGATTAAATTTTTATTACCTGACAGAATTGATCCTTCGGAATCCGATATAATAGCTTTCCATTGAAGGACCAGACATGGAATCCATTCTCCATTTCATGAACTGATGTAACAGATGTTGCCAAATATCTAATATAAAGGGTTTTCAAACATCCGTTAACACTTAACAGCCGAAAAAGCTATGGAAGAATTACATGCATGCTACCTAATTCTTATTTCTTTACATATCTAACTGCACCTAAAGTTCAATTTTTACATAAATTCCACCTTACCACAGCATAAAAACGTATTTTTCACTTGTTAAAAGTAAAAATAGTGATATTTTTTATGTGATATGAAAGATTTGGATGGAACAAATGTAACAAAGTTTAGGTGCTAGATATGTAAATACATAGGAAATGGGTGGGTATGTATGTAACAGGAAAATAATGGAATTTTGAAAATTACCTTCCAGTCGGATCCCACTCCATCTCTGTGGCCATGAAGTGTTCGCCGGTGGCCATCGTCTCGAGCTCATCAACGTTGTAGAATTCTAGCTGGCCGTTGAAGCCCTTAAGGCCGGCGAGGACTATGAACCTACCTGCGGGAGACCAATAGAGAGCGTTCGCCTGCTTTGACTTCAGGGTGGCAAGCTTTGACACGCGGCCCACGTTTTGAGCAGTCCGCATTGAGTAGAAGCTGATGTCCGGCCTCGGGCCATCACCGTGGATGATAGCGAATCTATGGCCTTTTGGTTCCCATGCAAAAGCCACAATCTTGTCATTCTTATTCTCGAGTTCGAGCACCTCAATTGGGATGTCGCGTTGCTTAATTCGGAACAGCTCGAAGCCAGTGGTTGTGCTCTTCTTTGTCTTGGTATGGCGATCGACCTTTACAGCGAGGTATTCTCCATTATTCTGCCAGTACATCTTGATATCGCTGACATTGAAGAGGTTCTTCTGCCTCATTTCTTCTTTGCTTGGGATTTGGATGAGGCTTACCTGAAATTATGAAGGGACATTTACAAACATTAGCACATAATTCTTAGGAAGATTTACATACATATCACTCAAATCTTTTGTATTTACACATCTAACAATTAAACTTTAATTTTACATAAATTCCACCTTCCGCATGAAAAGGTGTAGTTCACTTTTAAAAAGTTAAAATAATGATATTGTCGATGTGATATGAAAGAATTGGGTGGTATAAATGTCATAATTAAAGTTCTAGGTGTTAGATATGTAATTACATAGGAATTGGGCCCTATGTATGTAAATGCAGATAATTCTTATGTATTTACTGATCCAACCCTAAACTTTCATACTTACATTTATAAAACTTAACTTCAAGATTACATAAAAATATCACAATTATTAACATTTTTGAAGTAAAATACATATTTTCATGCATTGGTATATGACACCAAAATGTTAAAAGCATGAATGTCCGACTTTAGGCGTTGGATATGTAAATACCTAAGAATTGTGTGATATATATGTAAGTTTTCAAAAAATAAAAGAAAATGAAAATGTTCAGCTTAGTTTATGAAAGAAAGAGATTGAGATAAAAATTTCTACTCACCCTAGCAGGCTGGTTACCACCACCAAGCTCCGGAACAAAGAATGCAATAATAGGATCTGTGGGAGACCAAGTGAAATCCACCACATTCTCAACCTTCAGAGATTTCTTATCTATGAGGGCGAATGTCTCAGTTTCATACACAGAGATTACATTCTTTCCCAGTCTGGCAAAGAATTTGTCCTCTTTGCCACCACCCCATCTGCAACAATAGCCGAGAAATTATATATGCTTAGAATATAAACATCACATAATAAAAAAATGGCTAAATTACCAATATAATCACCAGACTATTTATATAAGTGTTAAATTAATCCAGATACTCCATTAATATTAACGTAAATCGTATCCGGGGAGGAGTATTTTAGCCCCCCATTAAAAGAATTTGGGGGCTAAATTCTCATTATCATGACCCGAAAACAAAGCGTCAAATGACCGTGTTGTCACCTTTCTCACCATTTTGTCACTTTTCTCCTAAAAAATACTATAATCACCTGAAAACCGGCCAGGAGACTCCAGTTAAATTGCTGGATCCTAACGCAAAGTCATCTGCACTTCCTTTGAAATCTCGCATCAGTTTTCCAGTTCTCACATCAAAGAAATTCAGGACTACCCTCTGTCCACGAAATCACATGTATTTATGATTTAACTCAGTGAGGTAATATTTAACAAAATATCATCAGATTTTACTCACATGTGTGTCGCGGGGATTGCTGGGCTCATGGCCGCTATAAGTAACAATATATTTCTCGCCGGGAGAAAAATCTATCAGTTTGACCTATCATATAACAGTACATCAACCAGGTAAGGAATTAAAGCATAAATTATCGGAAGAATTGCATACATAGCCTTAATTCCTATGTATTTACATATCTAACACCTAAACTTAAAATTTTTTCATACATTCCACCTTACCTATGTATGAAAAGGTGTACTTCACTTTTTAAAAGTTAATGTAGTGATATTTTTGAGGTAAAATGAAAGATTCGGGTGGTATAAATGTCGAAAATAAAGTTTAGGTGTTAGATATGTAAAAGCAAAGTAATTGGGTGGCATAAATAGCCCTAAATTATAATGCTGGAAAGAGAAGAATCATGAAAGGTGGGAACCTGTGGATGCGCAAATCTCATTAGTCGGCTGAATGTGCTGGCACCTCCCCAAACAGCAGCACCCTGCCTGTGAACTGTGGCTAAATATGTCCCCATTGGAGACCACTGGACAAAATTCTCGGTCCAAAACTACGAAACAGAGTAAAAGGCCTCAGCTTGATTATATAAAATATTTGCTAATATATAATTGAAGATAAATAAATTATATTAAATGCCATAATGGACTACTTTGCTAATATATAATCAAAAACTAGTTGTTCTTGTAGAAAACTTTAAATTTGACAAAAAAATCAAGCAAGATGTGACTCAAAAACTTGTGTTCATATCCAAGCGTGTGCATAGAAAAATAAAATAACAGATTAAAATCCTTCAAAGGCAGTAAAGTTCAAAATCCTCACAAATGATCTCAACATGAAAACTGCAAAAACTTTCGATTTGTAATTTATATATGCAATATGAAGTTACAGCTGGAGATAAATTGTCTACAGAACTCCAAATCAATTAGGCAGCTTCATTTTAAAATGGATTTTCCACAAAAATGACATTTTTTTTTTCTTTCAGAATTGCAACAGCGTCACTTTGTTTAAGAGACAGTCATAGAAGGGTTCAAGCAGCATTTGTTCAAACAATATCTTATCTAAAATATAATTTATGCATAATTACTCTTATAATTATTACATCCTATCTGATACTACTCATTTTAATAACAAAAACGATCAACGATAACTATTTGTTTTATTTTTAACCCAATGATTAATGGCCTTAATAATCCACCAGTTTGTTCTCACGGTCAAAATTAAAAATTAAAAATTACAGATATAACCAGCAAAAGTAAATTCACCAACAACGGCAAAGGTTAGTGTCATTAAGGTAGAATAAAAGGAAATATTTGCATCCTGAATTTAAACTACCGTGCACATTCTTACATATATACATGCATGCATGCATGCAAGCATATTATATTTAGTCATATTGGATCCCCTTGAAATCCACGAATTCACTTGCCTATCTGCCAACACCTGCCAGACAGTCTCCATATTTGCGCATCGAGCTTAAAAATGGAAGAACATTATTCTTTCCTTCTTTCTGCGGCTTCATTCAACTTATTGATCCACAGCATTGTTCTTTCCATCTTTCTTTATGAAGCTTCATCCATTTCACTAATGCAAAGCATTATTTTTTCATTCTTTGTGTATCATTAGTTGTATAAATATTTGAATTCAACTATTCAGATCATGTCTTATTGTTTTTGATTTCTGGTTGTTCCTGTTTAGGAAAGTGGTTTATTTGTTATCAGTGGGAAAATTCTGGATGAACTCCCCATATTTTCTATTTAAACCTAGCAAAGTAATATAGAATGGGAAGAATTAAATCTCTGAATTCTTTCAATCATTTCTACATGCTATTAGAGCAACTTCCTCAACTTTTCCATCCTTGTAACTAGTAGTAAAGAAAGCACGCACATTGATGCAACATCCACTCATAGTCAGTATATTCTACTCAATAATACCACCCCATTGAATTTTATGTTTTCCATCGCTAGCATTATCTTATAGGGCAAAACTTCATCAATGGTTTCAATTGGAGACGATGTTTAACAATTGGAGACGATGTTTATATTTCGAAAAGGAATAAAAGATCACTTCATCGAAGCAGCTAATGGACCCAATGAAAGATACTTAAAGATTTGATCATGGAAGGTAATATGGTAATATGATGGCTAATAATTTTCATGGCAAATGAAATCATTAAAAAAACAAATGCAAAAACATGAACAATGAGAATGTTATTGTGATATAAAATATGGCTTAGGTCATCCAAATTTTATATTGTATGAAAATTATTTCCTAATTTAATCAAACAAATTTTAAATCTTATCAAAGTAAAATTTATTCATTATTGAAATGCATTCGTAACTCTTTCCTGTCATCCAAACAAGCAACCAAATCCTTTTACCTTACCCATAGAAAGGTACATGAACCGTTTAGGGTCAATAATATTCTAATCGAGCAGATTCATTACATTTGTTAATAATCACACTAGATTTACATGATTATTCCTTATGAATAATAAATCTGAAGTTAGCGCCATATTTCAAAATTTCAATAAGATGGTGCAAACTTAGTTCCAAGCTAAAATTTAAGTACTCCGCACCAACAATCGGTGGAAGTACTCTCTCTCCATTGGGCTTTACCAATTCGACCAAGTGATTATTCATCAATACACATCTCAATACTTCACAATAAAATATATTTGATGGTAGAAAAAATAAACATCTTATCGAAGTAGCTCAATCAATCATGTTTGCCTCAAATAAATTTTGCAAAATCCTAATCACAGTTATCCTCCAAACTTAACCACATGCTCAAGTCTTCTCCTTCACTCTAACAAAATTTTTTGAATGAACCCCCATCATCCATATGCATCCTAAACAACGGAGCAAACTTAAATATAGATCACTCAATAAAATTTCCTTGCATACTCATTAAAAAGTGCAGAATTTTATTCTCTGTCCACCATTTTTTTTTTTTTTTTTTGCATCATAAAGGATGTCACCTTCATCAAATCCAAATATTTATGCCGAATATAAAATTATGGGAAAATTTTCAAGGAACATCGCATTTAGAAAATCGAGCCTGTTACTAAATTTTTGCTATTCTTAGAAATCTAAATAAACTCCACTCAAAATCAAACTTGCTTGAAACCAACAAAAAACCTTTGGATTTCATACACAATGCCATCACCAAAGGAATGATTATATACATGAGGCCAAAAATCAAGAAGAAGAAATAAATCCAAGTATCTCTTGCACGTAGCCATGGATCTTAACTAAATTTAGAGACTTCTTATCTTCACATCAATAACAAAACTATATAACTGACAGTATTCGATCATAATCAACTAATTACAATCGGGAATGGAGTTAGAACTTGTACTAAGCACCCTACCAATGACTTTATGCCATATGACAAGTTAGCTTCTATTCATAGTGCCCTTATCACATCATTAATAAAGGTTCAAATTCAAAAAATATTCACAAGGCTCTTAAGTAGACTCACTACAAGTACATTATACCCTTGAAACAAATAGCACCTGGAAATCATTTAACTGTCAAAAGAAAAGAGATGAATCAAATTTAATTGAACTTTCTCTATTAAACAGCGTTGATTGAAGTAAGAACAAATTCAAAGCTCAATTTATGGTTGACGGTTTCACCCAAGCCTATGGGATAGCAATGAGAATAAAGTTAAATGGTTATTAACTCCATTTGTGTACTTCGATCACTTGCAACAAACTTGAGCTGCCTATAATAAACTTGATATCAAAACTTTTTTTCTAAATAGTGATCTCGTCGAAGTCTATATGATTGGCAATCTAGATTTGATAGCCAAGTTAGTACTGACAAAATTAGCGAGCATTGAAAAACCTCGCACAATTTTAAACAATCATTACATACATAATATGGTTCATTATCACCAGTGGTTAAGTTGGCAATATATCCATAAAATATATGTTAAATTATATGATTGTATAATTTATATTGATAATATTAATATTACTAATCCTGAAAAGAGAAATAATATTTGGCCAAAATAAAATGAGATTTAAGGATTTAGGATAAATTTGGTATTTCATTGGCATAGGCATCTTTTCAAATCAGCTCTCAATAGAAGAATTAGGACGATGGGATGAAAACCAATGAGCAGACCTATGGACCCAAAACGTTAAGATGGAGACTAAGGATAAAAGTCCATCAATTGATAAAAAATACTTCTGAGAAATAAAATTTATCTAGCACATGCCAGACAAAATATTTGCTTCTCAATTACCATCACCAACCAACAAATTCGTGAGAAATCCACGTGAGAAATCCAAAAAAAAAAAAACCAAAACAAAAATCTAGTTTATTTTCATAATGTTGCAATACATGAAGAAGGATCCAAGAAAACAACTATATTTTAGAAAAACTCTCAAGAAAAAGCCAATTTCTGAATTAATGCAATGAAAATTAAAGAGACCATCAAGCAGGACAGAGTAGGTTTATTTTCTGATAATAAAGCTAGTATTATCAATGCAAACAACCTGCTCCTTCGAGATCAAACCAAGCATATAGATAATGATTATCATTTCATCAAGAAAAAAATTGTTGAAAATATTATTCAACTTGTTAGCACTCTTAAATCTTCAACTAATTGATGTACTCGCTAATGCCATTCATCACATCAGCTTCGATAGTCTATTTGTTACCAATTTCCTTAAACCTAACTTATACTATGGGATCGGTGGAAAATAAAATCAATAAAACTTTCCACTACAAACTTTGAACTACAAGAATTATTACTTAATACTAAAGAAATGCATACTTCTAAAACATAAGAATAGATTTTCAAAAGTGATCCCCTACTTATGACAATATATACAACCATCATACTTAATAAATAAATAAATGAATACTACTATCATAATATCACAAAGCTAATTCAAGAAATGAGCATAGCCATTCAATCTAAACACTTCAGCCTATTTAGCGAATATATTCATTCAAAAGAAAAAGTAAAAAAAACCCTTATATAAGCAAAACAAAAATCAAAAACTGCAAATTTACTTAAATTTAACCTTTAAAACCTAAAAGTTTGAATAACAAGCCATAAATTTTAACCTTCCAATTTAAATTCAAGTATATAATTAATCTGAACCATAATTTTAACGATCAGTTCTAAGTTCAACTTTAAGGAATAAAGTATTTAAAATATAAAAAAAAATCAGTATTGTAAACAAATATATATGAGGATCATTTAAAAATAAAGACTATAGTAGTTCTACTTCATCTTTCCTCCATCGCTTAACAAAAAGGAAAAAAATAAAAACCTTTTGAAGGAATTGAGCATCAAAATTATCATTGTTATTAATTCATTTTTAAATGTTAAAAAACCAAGGAGTTTTGAAAATAAATCTTTAAATATTATTAGATTTTAAAATTAATTTATAATAATAATAAGAGACTTTTTGGTGTGAATACATCAGTAGTGTGCAAAACTTGTATAAAGCCAGATAAACTATCATATCAAGTAAAACTGGCAAGCATGAAATTAACTAATCCAACAACAACAACAAGCCTTTTCTCTATTCAGTGGATTGAGTGTTATATTTTCATTTAATTCTAATAGATTAAGATCATTGTTTATGCAACATGTCCAAGTCTTTTTAGGCCTACCTCTGTCTTTCTTAACATAAATCAAATCTAAAAAATCTACTCGCCTAACATGATCAACAGATGATCGGCGTTTAATGTTACTAAACCATTTAAGACGACTCTCTAATTTTGTCCGCCACTGGAGCTACGCCAACCCTATCAAAGATATATTCATTTCACATTTTTTATCTAATTGTCAAGCCACTCATCGACCTAAGTATTCTCGTCTCAGCAATATTTAACTTAGTTTTATGCTTTTCTTTTAAACGCCAACATTCTGCGCCATAGAGCATTGTAGGTCTTACCACCATCCTATAAAATTTTCCTTTCAGTCTAAGTGTTACTTTTCTATCACACAATAAGCTGGATGTATTCCTCCACTTCAACCAACCCTTGAATTCTAGTGATAACATCCCCATCTATATCACCATAACTTGGAACTATAGACCTGAGATATTTAAAATGATCACACATTTTCATAATTTGATAACCCATAGTTACAACTCTGACGGTAGAGTTACTACTACTAAAATTACATTCCAAGTATTCAATTTTAAATCTACTCAAACGAAGGGCTTTAGACTCCACTATAGACCTCCATAATTCAAGTTTTTTTCTGAACTCTTTCTCTAGTCTTATCCACAAAAAAGATACCATCAGCGAAAAGCTTACACCAAGGCACATCCTCCTGTAAGAGAATCCATAACTAAAGCAAAAGGATATGGGCTTAAAGCCGATCCCTAATATAATCCATTCCCCCGAGAAAATCCAAATTTCAAACTATAAAACAAACTAAAAAAAATAGAAATATGAATAAAGAAACATTCACTTATTTTGGTATATCCTCTTGTAAGAGCATCCATAACTCAAGCAAAAAGATATGGGCTTAAAACCGATCCCTAATGTAATCCATTCCCACGTGAAAAACCAAATTTCAAATTAAATAAACAAACTAAAAAAATAGACATATGAATAAAGAAACATTCACTTACTTGCCGGCGGTATACAAGTTCTGGCATCATTTGTCTGGGATCATTCCAAAATATCTCAGTGAAGGCTCCAGCACGAATAACAAATTGATCTCGAGCCTTCTCATCCGTCAACCATTTTTGCAGATTTTCCTGTAAGTCTCAAAACGGAGTTATGAATGTAGAACCCAATCATAGAACACCATACTTGTTTAAAAACCAAATATATAAATATGTGTGTGTGTGTGAATATATATATAGAGAGAGAGAGAGAATCAATCAAAATAGCCATACTAAACTACAAAACATGGGCCAAGATTCAAACAAAGCAACACTTCGAGTCAAAATAATTATTCATTGTCAGCCATTCAGTAATTGGTGTCATATAGTAGTAAGTTTTTGGATGGTTTACAAGGATACCACTTGATTCTTATGTATTTACATATCTAACACCAAAACTTCAATTTTTTCATATATGTCACCTTATCTATGTATGAAAATGCATATTTTACTTTTTAAAAGTTGAAGTAATGTTACCTTGGATGTGGTATGAAATATTTGGTGGTACAAATGCAAAAAACAAAGTTTAGGTGTTAGATATGTAAGTACATAGGATTTGGATGGTGTATATGTAAATACATAGGATTTGGATTGTGTGTATGCAAAAGCCCCTGTTTTTTATGGTGGAAGTACATAACAAGCCATTTAAGATCTGTATCACTAATTTCAAATTTAAGTTTTAATTGCTAAAGCAGAATTTTCTTCAAAGGAAAAACTACATAATAGACCATTACGAAGGCAAGGTAAAAATGGGGCCTGCTCTTGCGATAAAATATGGCTGACCATTAATAATCTGCAATAACAATAAAGTAAATAAAAATGAGTGCATCTCTTTCGTCCCTGAAATTGCCAATGGATGAAATATTTTAATAAATACATCAACGTTAAAAGTGAGGGAAGTTTTGAAAATTATTATTGTCAAATGTAACTGTTTGAACAACACAACAAAACAAATGCTGGAAACCACGATCATGACAATAAAGTAGCAGCTCATTCCTTGCGTCACTAATTTACTTCACTATGTTTCAGAACATCTCTTAAATTAGGACTCAATAGATTAAAAGGTGAGCCGTGGTTTAATATCATTGCATTACCACAACTCTAGAATAAGATGGTCATTGATTTCTCAGAAGATTACATACATGCCGCACAATTCCTATGTATTTACATATCCAACGCCTAACTTTAATATTTACATTAATACCACTTTACTTATGCACCAAAACGTTTATTTCTCTTTTAAAAAATAGTGATTGTGATGTTTTTTTGTGATAAGAAACATATCAGTGATAGAAATGTAAAAATCAAAATTTTGGTATTAGATATTTAAATTCATAAGAATTGTGTGGTATGTATGTAAAAGCCTGTAATTTCTTTAGCATAATAAAACCAATCAACAATGAAACTAAGAAATGATTTAACAAACAAAGCTTGAACACATGCATTTGCCAAAATTAAATAATCTTCTAACAAGATCTGACAATGTGATCCTTTCAACCGCTCTCCTTTCTCAATCTAAAAGATTTATTGCATACTAAGGCTACGAATTGAAATAAATAATAATTAAAAATTCAAAAAATAAAGAATAAAATAAGCATGGTGAACACTCACTCCAGGTACATATGGTTTAATTTCAGCGGGCGTCCATTCATCTGGAATTTTCATATATTTCTCAATCTCATCAAATAAATTCACTGCAAATATATGTGACTTGTCTAACTTGTATCCATTAGTCTTCTCTTTTGCAAGTTCTGCTTCCTGTTATATAATAAGAGATAAGAGATATAATAATGTAAATAAAGTGAAAACAAAAAAATACTTAATCTTTCCTAAAACTACAATCTGAACATAAACAACAGTGAAGTTTGACTATGGAAAAGAAAAATAAATCCATTATTCATGTGAAAAAAATTCAAAGTTCAAGTCACTATGGCATGAATGGTTTCAGTGTTTTAGTATGAGACAATAAAAAATAGGAGAGAAATGATGATGAACCTGACAAAAATTTTAATAAGAATTAAATGCCATAGAATTACTCAGAACATTGTAGCCCATTCATACCGGCGGATAAAATGGCTCTCTAAAGGAATGGACCATGTCATTATTTATTTAGAGGTTACAAATCAAATCTCATTCCACTCTAATTGGAAATTAAAACTTTAAAAAAGATGAAGAGAATTAGAAAGTAGGCAGTTGTGAGTTTTGAATGAGATAAAGTAAAAGAGAAAAAGAAGATTCCCGCTACAAGAATGATTTTGTTTGTCCCAAAATATGCAGAAAGTAAAGAAAAAAGAAATCTCTTAGGTAATTGTTTTATAACACCTAAAGTACCTATCTTTGAATAAAAACATTAATCTATTTTTTTTATTTATATGAGGATAAATATATCAAGCTAATTATATTATTTCATCATCTCTTTTTCTTTCAACTCAAACCAAGAATTGGAAGAATAATTTTTATTTCTCCCAAAACCTAATCAAAAGAAAACAAAAAATCTCTTTTTCATCTTCTCTATACACCAACCTTTTTTTTCTCATTTCCCTCAACTCCAAACCAAAGTGTTCATTTTCTTTATAAATCAAAGAGAAGTGTGACGCTTTTGTCATAAAATTTATGCATGATGAAAGCGCCATTTTACAAAACATGTAAAACAATGCATATTAATGATTCAAAATATGGAGTACAAAACCGAAACAATTGTTTCTCTCACTATAACGATTTCTGGAAAATATTGTAGATAATTGGGAATATGCACTGAAATATTTCCAAAATTTCTCTGAAATATATAACATTCAAAGCGGTAAAGCAAAAGAACCAAATAAAAACACTATCCTTATATCAGAATTATGAGAGAAAAACGGTATATTTGATCATTTATTGTACAGGCACCTAATGGCTTCATGTATGGTACCAAATAGCATAGAACGCTGAGAAAACTTTACCAAAACAATAACATAAATGGCACAAACCTCTTAACTCCAACAATTCCATGTCTAAACATTCACAGTAGAAAACAGCGATCATTTCATTAATACCCAAATAACATACACAGCATTCAAGTTATCCATAGAACAGCTAAACCTATGTAATTCTCAAACATTTAATATCCATATATTCGTCATGAATAAAGACGAATGGTAAATTATTTACTTTGAAGTGAAAGAACTATCCCTGAACATGCGCATACAAAAAAAACCTCAAACTTCCTCTGTTGGACCTCTTTTGCTACTTTCTATAGACTTTGTGCAATCAGCAAGTTTTTCAACGTCAAAGAAGTCGGAGAAAATTTAAAATGCAAGATAGTATCTAATAACTCAGCTAAAAAACAAGTCATAATGGCACCAAAAATCAACATACATTTATGTGCACGTTTAGATGCGCATCTGAATAGAAAAAATATAAGAATACATATACAATGCAATTTTCTTACCTGAGTGGTATTGTATTCAATGAAGCAGTATCCGAGTGTTTTCTTCGTTTCCGGATTTACTGGCATCCAAAGACCACCTTCCCGAATCACACCAATCTGACTATAGATCTTTCGAATAACACCTTCAAGCTTCTCAAACTTTTCTGGTGGAACTACTGGGAGATTGTCAACCACAATCACATTCCCAAACCCAGATTCCAGTTCAAGGGCTTCTTCATGATAAAGATCATCGTCGTCATCACTGCAAAATTGTAATAAAAGAGTATAGTAAGTACAATCATGCAATAACTTTGATAAAATATGGAACATAATCTATTGAATATTACCTTCTGATCCCAAAATCTTCTCCAAGGGGAAGTGTGATGGAATCCAAATTAACTGCGGACAAATCAATTCCTAAACCTCGTGCCGTGGCTTCTATATCTGCCATTGAAACGATTGCAGCCATCCTCACAAAATTGGGATCACAATCTTGTGCTCTTCAAGTAAACAACTGATAAAAAATCAAATTTTAAGCTTTAGCTAAAATTCAAGGCTCAAGCTTTTACGAGTTGCTCGGCTAAATTAAAGTAATTAAATGCAACGTCAAAATAAAGGATCCCCATCAAGCCAAGATGGTTACAGAAACAAATCAAGGCTCAAGCTTACGAGTAATCAGCCAAATAGGCGTAGAGAACATGATTTAAGGCTTGAGCTTACAATTAATCAGCTAAAAATAAATCAATTAAATATCACAACAAAATAAGAGCATATCATCAAACCAGGATGGTGATGGAAAATTGAGGGGTTAATTGTTCCTTTAAGGCACCACACTACCACGATGTTCCTTTAAGGCGCACGTGATTATAGGCTAGGTTGAACCACCTTGATGCTCCATTGAAACCCCACGTGGTTGGGGTTTATAATGGGTTTGTCGAATAAGAGTCTTTTCTGTTTTGAATTCATAACATCTCACGAGGGGACCTCTGAGGACTTTTTGCTTGTTAATTTGGCAAAGTTTATCAGCCTTTGAAAAAGCTTATGAGCTTAATAAGAGAGCTTAGGCCCAATTTGGGATCATTTTTATTTTTTGGTTTCTATTTTTGTTTGTATTTTGCTTTGATTATATTTTATTTAAATTAATGCATGTTTGACTGTGATGATTGTTTTTAAAAACACTCAAACTATATTTTAAATATTTTAAATGTTATTAAAAACAAAATAATTTCTTTATAAAAATTTAAAAATAAAAACCTATAAAAATTATACTATCCAAACATGTTTTCAAAAACAAGTATAAAAAATAAAAATAGAAAGCAAAAAGTGATGTCAAACGGGCCCTAAACTAATTGTCAACGAAATATCGCATGTAATGAAAGATCCATCCTAGGAATAAGCTTGTTAGCAAATGAATTCACTAAACTTTGGTATGTTAGTATGAATCATGCTCTGCCCTTGGAATAAACCATCACAATGAGCTTCAAACATTGAGGTCGTTAAAACATATGTAAACAGAGTTAGCAAATGCTTGATTGAACTCCCAATGGAATCAAACTCAATATGTTCCTCTATAAAAGGAATCGGAGATGAAAAGCCTCATTTTTAAAAAATAATATTGACAGTATAAATGCAAGAAAATTCCTATAATGATGGAGAAATCAAATAATTTGGCGTTTTATAAAATGAACATGTAGTTTCGTCGAATAAAATCACTTTTAGGAAACAATAAATCAATGGCACTACGGGGCCATTTGGTGGCAGGATTTCAAGAGTAGTTTAGCAGGATTTAACCTAAGAGGCTGTTTTATAGCATAGTTTAAGTAAGATTTAACCTAAATCCAGCAAAACAGCAGAAATTGTAACTTTAAATCCTACGGGGCTGTCTAGCAAAGGATTTAGAGCAGGATTTAACCAGGATTTAAGCTAAATCCTACCATACAGCCATTTTGGACAACTTCAATGCTCGAATTCACTAAGGGGCTGTTTGTTAGCTGGTTTTAAGAAAGATTTACGCAAGATATAAATCCTAAACAGTCGAACATATTCAATCTTGTTAGTTGAGTATAGAAAACTATCATGCAAGAGGAGCCACTAGTTTCACACCAAAACTTCCACACTCTAGCCTCATTTTCATGCACCCAAGCCAATGAGACCTTAAACTTAGGAGGGGAGAAGACGGGCTATGAAACAAGCTAACCCACTTTCACCTTCTTTGCTTGAAAGACCGAAATACCATAAGTGAAGTGGTCAAGCCCCAAAAACACACTTCTTAGTTAGAGCGGGGGCTGCTTTTGAAAAAGGTATTGCTTAATAGTAGTAACGCAGTCTTCTTCCTCTTGTTTGTTTGGGATACCTTTGGACTCCTTTTCCAGATAGTGATCTGCATATCGATTGTGCCAAAGATTCCTATATTGGCTATCGGTCATGTTCTCCATCGTCATTCCCACTCCCATCTAAAGCTCATGCTTTTGGCGTTGCTTTGTAGATCTGCGGATTTCACCCATACAAACGGAATTCCACTCTCCTCTATCTCGCTCGGGTGAATTGATTTTGAGAGGATTCCGCCAGTTTTTGGTGACTTGAACTTGAAATCCAATTCACCGCTTGAGTGACCTTTACACCCAGTCATTCCGAAGCACACTCGATCAAATTCAAATTTGTGTAACATGAAACCTATTAGCCCGAAAGCACCAAGTGGGACAACAAAAGTCCCCATACTGCCTAATTGACACCAGCGAGTTAATCCTACTTGTGCTTCAGGGCCGGCAACAAGCTAAATTATTCACACGAGTAGAAACCGCAGCAGCTAAAAATTTACTCCTGTTCACTTTGAGTGGTAAGAAAACCAGTGAGAAGTTCCGAGACTACAGAAAGCTAGGTACGTGATAGAGGGAGGGATTAGCGAAAGTAAAGAGGAGCGTGAGGTGTAGGTGGGTGTGGCGAGCTTCATTTGCAGGACGGGGTAGGGTGAAGTAAGGGCAAGAGAGCTAGTTGAATTTCCACCTATCGCATGCAGCCGCGCGTTCGAGTCAATTTTGGAAGCCACCAGTAGCAGGATTTACGCAGGGTTCAAGCTAAATCCTGCCAAACGGCCAAAAACGCCTCCGTAAATCCCAAAATGACGCCGATTCTTGATAGATCCGGGATTTACTATATCCTGTGAATCGGAGGATTTCGTAAATCTTCGACAAGCAAAGAGGAAGAATGGCGCGCGAACAGGATTACCTTCGTTGATGATTTCTGATAGGAGCAGAGCGGAAGGACAAGAAAGATGGGAGTTCGGCAGACTCTGTGAGCAGAGATCCCGTCGTTGCCTTCCCAGCAAGCTTTAATAGCGACTGTATCGCGAAGGTTCGTTGAAAAAGGCGAAAGTTTTAAGCGAAACCGGAGAGGGCAGGGACATAGGCGAGGGTTTTGAGCAGAGATGGAGAGTTTGTGCCCAAAATGGGTGAGGGGAAGTATGTATAGGCGAGGGTTTGGGAGAAACAAATATTGCATGCGTAGTTCTAATTCAGTTTTGCATTCAGAATTTTATTCAGAACCTACAGACAGGCCCATCATAATAAAATAATAATAATTTAATACATAAATTTGCTGTTTTAATTTATTTTATTTGTGTTAATTTATTAATTTAATTGATTGATAATTAATAATTAATAATTCAAACAAATATATATATATATATATATATATATATGGTACTCCACCGCCAAATCTTCATCATCCATCACGAATCTCAAGCATGACATGAATATCGATGCAACATTTTATGCTACAAATATTTAAACTTCAATTAAAAGTCATCCAAAACTCTAATTTCAACAAATTTATAGTCAAACTGACTGACTTGATGAGACGGACCAAAGGATATCAAGGTTAGTTTGATCTGAGTCAAATCAAGCCCAGATCAAGCAATTAAATTATTGTTAAAAATTTTTCGGACACATTTAAAATATCAAACGAATGTTGAGTTCAGCGAGTTTATAGTCGAATAGAGTGTCTCAACAAGAAGAATCCAACGAGCCCAAAATTGCTCAATTCCGACATCTTTAAGGCACTTAAATCTTCATCAAATGTCATCCGATTGAGGGAAACTCTCCGGACCGTCTGATCAAAAGAGTTCATATTCATGCATTGATTGTACCCAAAATACTATAAATAGAGCTCCACCTTACATGAAATGAGGGCTTGGGCGAGAGAACTTGAGGAGAAGGAGCTCGAGTCCAACATCATTTCTGTCATCGTCGATCGTCGTCGACCACCACCAACTGTCAGCTACCAACGCTGACCTCCGTCGACCACTGTTAACCACTACTGACCAGACGTAATCAGCCGACGTTATAACTTGAATAATCTAGTAAACATTTTCCGTCTATGGAACAAGGGTACTCTGTAATCATCAACTTATAGTGGATTTGTTTAACCGGGACAGGCCCCGTGATTTTTCCCTTTACGAGTTTTCCACGTAAAAATTTATGGTGTCATCACAGATTGATTCATTTTCATCTGAGTATGTGTTGAATCCTCATGCAACGCTAAGACGATAATTCATTACTCTACAGCCGTGAATTTTCCAGCACGCATAAGTTTGACGCTGTTTGTGGGAACGTTTCAATCCCACATCTAAAGTACTTACGCGGTTTCCTACATGGCCACCAGACACAATATTCGTGACAATGGAGCATCCCACTCCAATGCTCATTGTTCCAGGGAGAAATCACGAAGCCAAAGGCGACAAGCTTCTTATCCTGCCAACGAAGGTGTTTCGGGTCTTTCAATAGAAGATTGAATGCGTAGAATGGAGGAATCTCAACTAGAGATCCTGTAGCTCCTACGCGGGGCTCAACAGACATTGCCTACACCATTGGATGAAATTCGTTTACCGTTAACTCCGCTACGTACGAGCAACATACCGCTCGGAGAAACTCGTATCGGACCGCCTCCTCAAGAAGGAACACATCCCCTCTCAGGTGATGTCATTCGTAATGAACTACGACGCCTCGTCCGGGAAGAGTTTCCCATAGAGAAAAAGGATCGCTTCTACACTCATCATAACATCCATGAATCCTCTCCTGTAGCGGATGCAGTCCTTTAACACCCCATCCCAACAGGCTTCAGGCTTCTGAACATTGATACATATGAAGGGATAATTGACCACTACGAGCATATTGATCATTATTGAACCATCATGCACATTCAGTGTGCCTCTGATGCACTTTTGTGTCAAGTGTTCTCGACTACTCTTAAAAGACAAGTTCGGACCTAGTTCTACTATCTGCCAAGAGGCACTGTAAACACCTTTAACGAGCTTGTCAGACTGTTCGCAGAGCAGTTCATCACAAATCGAAGAATCATCAAAGATTCATCCCATATCTCTGGAATTCGTCAATGCGAAGGAGAATCACTAAAGGACTATTTTCGCAGGTTCTCTACTGAAGCCCGACAAATTATGGGAGTAGATCCGGAGTTATTAAGAGGAGTATTCCTTGGGGGGTTCCGCCCAGGACTCTTCTACTCGTCATTGATGTGGGTGACAGTTTGTTCTTATGATGTCCTTATTCACCCCTTATTCACCGTGTTGAGGCACTGAGGCACAAATTTCTGCAGGATGAGGCCATCATTGCTCACAAAAAACAAATTGAGCGATTGGGGGGCAAGCGCAAGAATAACGTCGGGGATACCAATCAAATCTCACAACAACAAAAATTTAGACCACAAGGGAATCGTGAACAACGATCAAAATAAGAATACATGTCACTCAACACGTCGAGTGTTAACATCTTAATGACACTCAAGGATGAAGAGACTGTCAAGTGGCCAAAGCCGTTAAGAAATCCAGATGGTGGAGATCAATCACAATATTGTCATTTCCACCAAGCAAAATGACAGTAAAAAAAAATATGTTTTCAATTAAAGAAATAAATTGAACTTCTAATATGCTAAGGTCACCTGGGTCGCTACTTACAAGAAAAAAGTGAGGGGGACCAGAAGAGAATCGTTGGAGTTATTGAATGAGAAAAATAACTCCAATTCATCTTATATGAGTAAAAGATTGACTTATAAACACTTAATTTTATTTTAGCAAAATTTTCATGTTGCTTTAAAATATCATTTCATTGAAATTGTTTTATTTTCTCATGAAAGATTTTTTTGTAGAAAGCCTCTTTGAGGATGGGAATCTACCATGCCCCTAACACTATTACAGCTCCCAACTAATGCTTGTGTGGAAACTACTGGTCTGGATTTTATGCAGCCCATGTGGGCAACTAACACTACAATAGCTACTAACTATAACACGTACGACCAACTACTAACACAACCTCTAACTAAAGTCTCTGTGGCCAATTAACGACAAACATGTCACTAACTAAGTTTTGTACAAGCAACTATGACTATAAATTCTAAATACAATTATTACTATTCCAATCACCAACTGTGACCAATGAGACAAATTTACAATATTGCAGTCACCAACTTTAATTATTATTGTTACAACTTTCAACTATGAAATGTGTGGCCAGGTGACATTATTGCAATCACCATCTATGATCTACGTGGTCAATTACTACTCTTGCAACTTTTTAGCTAGACCTTTGTGGCCAGCTAGTGCTATTGTGGTCTCCAATTGCAACTTTTTGGGGTCAACTAACACTTTGTAGTCACCAAATACGATCTATGATAAATTGTCGATAATGCAGCTTCCAACCACGATCTTTGATGAACTATTATTTGTGCAGCAACCAACAATGAATTTTGTTGATATTACAGTTGTTACAACTTCTAACTGTAGTCACTGTGACCAACCATGACAAATATAATCACCAACTATAGCATTTATGGTCAACTACATTTGTTGTAGCCCAATCATGACTATTATTGCTAAAGTACTACTATACACATGTAATTATCAGTTTTATAATTTTATATTCTCTAATTTATGAGAAGAAGGAATGCATGTGCTTATCAAACATATAGTGAATTACTTTGATTACGGCTGGCACAATGGTTCTTTATCTTTCCAAGGTTTTTTACATAAAAAATCTCAAATTTTCTCGTGTTACTTTTCTATTAAATACGCATGTTGGGTTTATGTGCAGTGTCAAAACATTAAACTACCGCTCTAACGTCATGAATCTTTCAACACACAACAAGGTTATTTGGTCGCCAGTATAAATTAACGTAAGTAGAATTTAATAAATCACTAAATTGGTAAATCTATATACTCACCCATCATTTGGATTTACTAAATCCAAAATTTGGCAGAATCAAATGAAAAATGCAAAATTTGATTCCCTAAATCACAAATTTTATGCAATCATGGACTCCTGCATTGTGTCATTTGGCTTGATTAGTAAATATAGTGATAAATCTTACTAAAGCTCTATTCCAACCCATTACAAAGTTAACAGAATTTCATAAATCCCACATATCCAAATTTAGTGAATCCTGACAATAAATTTAATAAATTCTGTGAAATTGTTCATAAATGATGATGAGGATTTTTAAATCTATTTGATTATTAGACTTTAACAACAATCAGAGTAGATTATAATAAATTTAATAAATTTGACTTTTTAAAAATATTTAAAAATAGCCAAAATTAGTTAAATCTTAAATTTAATTCATATTTTATTTTTAACCATGATAAGTAATAATTATATAATTATTAAAATAATTAATAATTAATAAAATTTGTATTTGATTAATTATTGAATAGAAGCTTAAAATTTTTAAAGCAATAATTAATTTGTTATTAATTAATAATTACTTATACATTTATTGAATGAATAAGAATTAATATTTTTTTACTAATTAATAAATAAGAAATAATCATAAAATTATTTAATTATAATTAATATGATAATATTATTAATTTTTATTAATCAATTAAATAAATAAAATTAACTTAGATAAAATTGAATTAAAAAAATGAATTTAAATAAAATTAAATCAATAAAAGCCATACCCATATCACTCACTCACTCCTCCCTCTATGAAATCATTGCATGTATGGGTGTAAACGAGCGGACCTTGGGCGAGCTTAGACTTTACTCGTGTTTGTCCCATTTAGAAAAAAATGTTGTTATTCAAATTTGACCCGTTAATATATAGAGCACAAAAAATTTATTAGTGTTTGCTCTTTTCCTCAACAAGCCAAACACTAAAAACTTAGGGTATGTTTAGGGTAGCTGTAGCTGCGCTGCCACAGGAAACTGCTGCGAAGAAGCTGAATGTCTGTTTGTTGCAGTTGGGTAAAAGTAGCTGTGTGGCAGCTGTTTATGAAAAAATGATCGCTCTGCCCTTATTTAGTAAAGATGTTTAAAACAGACTGTGTCAACAACATTTTCGATACTTCAGAAGCAGAAATTCATTTCAAAAAAAAAAAAAAATCAGATACATAACTCACTTAACAGTGATAACCGGAAGTGCTAAATAAAAATAACAAAAACTAATAATAACAAAAAAGCTCAAGACAAATTTTTCTTTGGCTGAC